GTTGCTTTTGCAAACTTTCAGAAAAGTGTTTTTTAACAAGGCTTCAAACTCCTCTGAGGGCCGGCCCCGTGGCTTAGTGGTTAAGTGTGCGCGCTCCGCTACTGGCGGCCTGGGTTCGGATCCCGGGCGTGCACTGATGCACCACTTGTCCAGCCATGCTGAGGCCGTGTCTCACATACAGCAACTAGAAGGATGTGCAGCTATGACGTACAACTATCTACTGGGGCTTTGGGGGAAAAATAAATAAATAAAATTATAAAAAAAAAAAACCTGAAACTCCTTGTTTGGAATACTTTTAAATAGATTAGGAAATTATTTACAATTCCTAATTGTACAAATAGGAGTACAGTGTACAGATACAGGCTATTTTAGAGGTGGCTTATTATTTTAAAATTTTTATTAGATCTTTAAAGATATTTTAATTTTACATAGTAAAATTCACTCTTTGGTATACAGTCCTATGAGTTTTGGCAAATACACAGTCTTGTAACCACTTCCACAATCAAGATAACAAAACAATTCCGTCTCCCCCTTTTACCCTTTTATAGTCAAACTCTGCCTTTATCCATAACCTTTGGTAACCACTGATTTTCTTTGCCTGATGCATTTCCGATTCATCCACGTTGGTATGTGTATCAATAGTTATTCCTTTTTATTACAGAGTACTGTTATATGGTGGTACCAGTTTGTTTATCCATTCACCGACTGAGAGACGTTTAAGTTGTTTTCAGTTTTGGACGATCTGAATAAAGCTACTAAAAACATTCTCATACAGGTTTTTGTGTGAACATAGGTTTTCATTTCGCTTGTGTAAATGAAACTGCCAAACTGTCCAAAGTGGCTATGCTGTTTTGCAACATTTGCGAGTTCTAGTTGCTACACATTCTTGACAGCACTTGGTTTTGTCAGTTACAAAAAAAAAAAAAAACCATTCTAATAGATGTGTTGTAATAATCTTGTTGTGTTTTTGATTTGCATTTCCCCTAATGACTAGTGATATTGAGCATCTTTTCATGTGCCTATTTGCCATCTGTTTATCTTTGGTGAAGTCTGTTCACATCTTTTGCCCATTTTAAAATTGGGTTTTTTGTTTTCTTATTGTTGAGTTTTGAGAGTTATTTATATATTTTAGATACAAGTCCTTTGTCAGATATGTGATTTGCAGATATTTTCTCCCCGTCTATGACTTATCTTTTCATTCTCTTAACAGTGTCTTTTTCAGAATAAAAGTTTAAAATTTTGATGAAGTTCAATTTAGCAGTTTTTTTCTTTTATAAATTGTATTTCTGGGGTAGTATCTAAGAAATGTTTCCTAACACAAGGTCACAAAGATTTTTTCCATTTTGAATTAATTTTTGTACAGGCATATCAATTTTAAACTATAAAGATCATATAAAATGAAAACATTGCCAAATACCAATTCTCAGCATAGCATAAGTTTCTTTTGAAAAGGAGTTACATTCCCATTCCCTGTTTTTTTTTTTTGAGGAAGATCAGCCCTGAGCTAACATCCATGCCACTCTTCTTCTTTTTGCTGAGGAAGACCGGCCCTGAGCTAACATCTACTGCTAGTCCTTCTCCTTTTTCTCCCCAAAGCCCCAGTAGATAGTTGTATGTCATAGCTGCACATCCTTCTAGTTGCTGTATGTGGGACGCGGCCTCAGCATGGCCAGACGAACAGTGCGTCGGTGTGCGCCTGGGATCCGAACCCGGGCCGCCAACAGGAGAGCGCGCGCGCTTAACCGCTAAGCCACAGGGCTGGCCCCTGCCCCATTCCCTGTTAAAATGTCACCTTTACTTTGAAGGGACAGATTTAGTGTTTGTTTATTGGAAAATATTGCAAAGTAGCATATTACTGTCAGCTGCTTTTTACCACAAAGGCTGGCTAGTTTGGAATGCTCATCTTTTTGCAGAAGAAAAAAATACATAACTTATCTTTACTATTTTGAGTACTTTGATGTAAGTGAGCCTCTTTGTGGTACTCTAAAGATCCTGTTTTTATAAATTCACTATCATTATTGACATCCTAGAGCACAGAAACAACAGTATTCGTGATATGCTGAAAGCAACGGCAGAAGAAGGGTACCACTGCCCCCCCCCACACACACACAGTGAGAGCCCCACACTTCCTTCTAGATACCGGTATACACATGACACATACTAGCCTAGGGAAGATCCCAGTGGAAATCTATATATTATGACAGTTTAGTGAAACTTTTTTTAAAGATAAAAATAAACAGATAAAATTTCTAATGTTTTTTCCTTGCCCTGGAGGATTGTCTTGTGTACCTTTTGGGAATACTGCTGCCCTGAAGAGTCTTACAATGCCGCCCCTCTCCATGCATTCCCAAGTATGCCTAGCAGATAGTAGATGATCTGTGAATGTTTGAGAAATAAGGGTCTTTCCTGTAATAAATGGTGAAGCTTTGCTGATTCAAGTTGTTATTTTCCTGCCGGCTTTCTTCTAGAATTTGTTTTTCCATAGCCACCTTCTTCTAAGCTCTGAACTTGAAGGTCTTAACAAATGTTTCTTTGAAAATGACACTCCTGATTACCCATAATGTAGAACCATGGATTTATGAGAGAATATAGTTCTGGATCTGGAATGGGACTCGGAAATCATCTAAGCCAAATCCCTTATTAAAATCAAACCAAAAGTAAATGAACTGTGGTAAATCCAGAGAATGGAATACAATTCAGCAATAAGAGGAGAATGAACTGTTGATATATGCAACAACAGATGAATCTTAAAAAAAGTATGCTGCGTGAAGGAAGCCAGACAAAAAATATTACATACTGTATGATTTCATTTAAAAAAAATTATAGAAAATACAAACTATAGTGCCAGTAAGCAGTGGCTGCCTGTGGATGAGTGGGAAGAGGGTGAGGAGGGAAGGGAAGGCTGGATTAAGAGGGGCATGAGGAAACTTTTGGATTTGATAGATAGTCCGTAATCTTCATTGTGGTGATGGTTTCACAGGTGTATACAGATATCAAAACTCATCAAATAGTACACTTTAAATATGTACGGTTTATTATATGTCAGTTATACATCAATGAAGCCATTTAATAACAAAAAGGAAATTAGAGGTAATTCACTCGTGGAATAAATATTTAACAAATCCCTACTGTGTGCTAGATTCATGTGCTATGTGCTGGGGGTTCAGAGAGAGATTGAAGACATAGCTCGTGCCTTCAGAAGGCTCGCAATCCTAGCGAGTGAGTTAGACAAATAAATAGACTTTAAATCCAGTATGCTAAGTGCTAAGAACAAGGAACAGACAGGGAACAAGAGGAGTCCAGAACATGGGTGCCAACAAGTGCCTCTTCCTGGGGAGGTCAGGGGAAGCCTTACGAAAGAGAGGAAGCTGAGCTGAGGCTTAGGATTGGTCGGGTGGAAGAGCCTCCCCAAGTGAGAGAACATCATGGGCAAAATTGGTGAAATGCAAGTTCCAGGAACTGCATGTGCTTCGGCCTGAGTGGAGTAAAGGACACGGTGGGAAAGTAGCAAGAGAAGAGGCTGCAGAGGTTAGTGGGGCCAGATGGTGAAGCAAAGCTTGGGTGTCTTTGTGCTCCAAGGTTGAACTAACAGGTTGGCTAAATCTGTGGTCTGTGTCACTGGGACATTGTCTCATCCAAACACTGGATGGAGTTCCAGGTTCCAGGTTTCAAGGCTGTGATACTCATATTCATGCTCAATTCTAGTCTGGGAGCTCCTACGTTCCCCAGGGATGTTTCAAGTCCCAAAGGAAAGAGAGAGCTGGTTTAGGTCTGAGCAGCAGCTGGGTAACATCTGCTTGGTCCTTGGAGCTATGCTTGGGAGCAAAGGCTTCTGCTGCATTTGTAGGTTGGAGGCAACCAACAATCCAGCTGCCCCAAAGGCAGTTTTTCCACAAGTCAAGAATTTTGCCTTTGTCTGGCTGGTGGCACCGATCCCTAAACTTCTGTGCTTCTGACAGTGACTATCTCGTGTGCAGTGATCTGTGTCCTGTCTGGTTCTCTCCTACCCTCTGGTCATCTGTTAACAAGTCACCCTTGAATTTCTCCAGCCACTGAGTAACAGGTCATGGGAGAGTCTCTTATTATTTTTTTTTTTTGTTTATTTATTTTTAGAGTGGTTTTCAGAGCAGACTAGGATGTTTAATTCAGGGTACAATTGTCAGGCCACATTAAAAATGCAGGCAGCAGTGCAGAACGTGGCTGGCCCATGTCAGCCAGAAGTTTCAGCGTAACCAGAGGAGGAAAACACGGATAAGGCCTGTGTTAATGGAAGTAGATGCCAAATTGCATGGCAGGCTCTGGCTCCTGTTTCTCCTGTTCCCTGCCATTCTCCAGCCAGAAGAAGGAAGCTTGTATTTAAGCTAGAAGTTTTAATGGGATTGCTGCTTAATGAGCATTCCTGTGATCTAGAGATCAGTTTGCTTACATCTCAAAAGGAGAGTTCCCATGCTCCTATTCAGGAGGATTGTAACTGTCATGGCAGTTAGGATCTACAAGAACACAAGATGAGTGAGAAGTGTGGGTTTGGTGGTTTATTCTTGCCCTGGGGATTCTTCACTGTCTTCTGCAGGGTTGGACCAAGAGGGCAAACAAAGGTGCTTGTAGTGGTTTCCATGCCCTAGCCAACTCGAAAGCTGTGGCCAGCACAGATTACTGAAATCAAGTGGGTCCAGGAAAGGCCAATATGGATTAATGATCTCAGGTGAATTAATTACATCAGACAATGTCAGTTTGTGATGATATTGTGGAGTTTGGGTTTTTTATATCTTCTCACCTGGGCTGGTGAGTCCAAGTGTGGGCTGGCCTGGGCTCTGTAGCTCTGTTCATTCTGTCTTCTCCTCCTCCCACCATGCCATCTGCCAGCTGGACTGTTAACTGACTCACTGCTCCCTTTTTGCTGTGTCAATCTGCAAGGTCATGATTGTTGTGATTTGGGGCTGATTTCCCAAATGGGTGGGTGAAATGGATATCTAACTTCCATTTGTTTTCTTGCATTTCAGTCGTTCCAAGGAAGTCAAGGACGAGCATACCTCTTTAACTCAGTGTGAGTGTCTCTGAACGGTACATCCATTGCTTGGTGCAGATTTTGAGGGGTGGGGAAAAGCAACACTCAGTGATAATTAAGTGATGGACCTTGCCCTCTCTGCCACAATAAAAAATCCGTGGAGCATTATTCTCCACAATTGGTAGCCAGTTATATTTGGGTAATTTTTTTGGCAGCATCTTTGGCTAAAAATAATATATTCACTACGCCCAGTAGGCACATCAGAGTGCTGTAGTCTCATAGGGAAGAAGCTGACGTGCTGTTGAGAGAGCCTCAGCGTGGAGGTCTCATCACCGGATCTGAGATTTGTCATTAGAGAAGAGAGAGAGGGTGAACAGAAGACTCTAAGGTCTGCTGAAGGACTTAAGGCTGGAGGGAAGGCTCAGTTAGTGAAGAATCTCCATACCCTCCTGCAGATGCACAGTCTACCACAGCCCTCAGTTCTTGCTGGGCACATCATTTACAGCCTCTTCCTGGGAAAGGAAGGTGAAGCTCATATAAGCCCGATGAACTGTGAAAATGGAAATCTAGTGTGTTCAGCTTGAGATAATACTTGCTCTGTGAAGGAGAGTATTTGATACCTAGAGCTCACTCATCCTTGTGATCAGGACAAGACTGTGCCATCATGTTTGACTTCTTCAACTGCATTTAGTCCTCTGTAAGCTCTGAGTTCCTGTGCTCATGGCTATGGATTTCATATTGTGGTTGTCAGTTTGTCCCCTTAAATCACAAGACTAAAAGCACCTGTCATGGGGCCGGCCCGGTGGCGCAAGCGGTTAAGTGCGCGTGCTCTGCTGCGGTGGCCC